CCAGTTACTTAACCATATGTTTGATTATGTACGATTTATCTAAAACAGGAAAAAGATTGTCAAAAATTTGTAGCACATACATACTTTTACGTTTGTACACATGTATATTTGTATGCTTGGCGCTAGAGACTGTTGCAAAGTCTAATAAAATACATACATTTGGTATTATTTATTGGTTATTTTACTATAATTCGCCCAATTTTTTTCTTTTCAACTTACACTTAGTTACAAATACATATTCATATATATATTATCTGCTTAAAAGCTAAACAAATACATCGTACAAACTAACAGAAATGACATTTTTAAATTAAATTAAATGAACAAAAAAAATTAGCAAGAAATTTACATAACTATAGAACCCAACAATTGTCTCGAAAWTCTTTATACTAAATGTTACATATACGTTTGTATGTTTGTTTGTCTGTATACATATGTTTGTGGGATTGTGTTTGTTGTATGTTTTGTATTAGCGAGTAATCGTTCGACTGCATAGCTCCTTGGTATATACTATATATAAATTTGTGTTGATTTCATTTTTGTTTAAAATGTATGCTGGCATGTGTGTGTGTGTATACAATACAACTGGCTGAAAAAATCTAGCGTTTGCCAACGCCCTTTAATGCTCTTTAGTTGTTGTTGTAAACGTCGAACATTTTTCCCACACTCTGTTAATCGATTAGCAACTCGAAGTGCACGGAGCCTAGTCGCTCCTTGCGATCGTGCAAAATATTGCGAGCCCAAGCCTTGCATTCGATATTGATGATGATGCCACCTGAAAAATTAATGGGTWTTAAAATTCTGGTACACATTTCAAAGATCTTAAATAATTTTTAAGCATTAGAAAATTATTATATGTGACCTGGTCTACGGAAAGGGGGCTTAGGTGTCAAAAAATTTTAGTTTATTCGGATGGAAGATGAGATGCTTTTTCACGTGATAGAATCCAAAAAGTCATAAACTAGTTTTGGCACGTCAGCTCCCTTTTCGTAGACCAGGTCACATATATTATTATCATATTTTATTTGTAGACTTCTAACGATGTAACGAGTTTTTCAATGGGGATGCTATAAAAGTAGACCAATAGGGACGATAAACGACATAAAAWTTTTCCCGCTCTTTTGATATTTCTCTTCAATAAAGTTCCAACAACGAGTCGAAATTATTAAATTTTACTACCAAAATTCGGAGTCAGTCGCATTAACTTTAAGAGCGCTACGTCCAATTTCTGGTCGTCATAATCGTTCTGTCAGATCAATAATTGAGCGTCTAGTGGAAAAATTTGAATCCATAGGCACAGTACAAAATATTCCCGTGCCAGTGAGCTAAAGAAGTGCTCCTATTGTCCAGAATATAGCTTCCACTAGCGCATGAATTGAGGAAGATCAAAATCAGTCTCCCACACGGCGTTCTCAAGCGTTAGGCATCTCTGTGACTTCGAGTTTTCCGAAAGGATCTTAACCTACATCCTTACAAGRCCAAATAGACGTAAGAGTTAAAGCCACTTGACCTCCAAAATCGTCGTATGTTCGTGAATTGGACTAAGCAACAACTTGAAAATGATTCGGATTTTTACGRAAAAATCGTCTTTAGCGATGAGGCTTATTTCTGGCTGAATGGCTTCGTCAATAAGCAAAATATGCGTTATTGGTCAGACAGCAATCCACCCGTACTCCATGAGTAATCATAGAGTCCCGAAAAAATTATGGTTTGGTGCGGTTTATGGGCTACAAGTCTTCTGTGCTGATCAAGATCGGCACGTTACTGGGACTAGGAATCGCTACCGCTCAATGATAACCTAATATGTTTTGCCCGAATTCGATAATATGGGCTTTGACAAAACGTAGTTCCAACAGGACGGCGCCAAAGCCATAAACCAAGTTTGGTGAACGTTTTATCACACTTAATGGCTCAGGCAATTGGCCGCTTTGTTCGTGCTATCTGACGCCGTTAGACTATTTTCTCTGGGACTACGATTGATGAACTTCATACGAAGTTAAAAATTGYAGCAGTATCGGCCGACTTATGCTTGAAATCCGTCGGAAAAACTACCTTCTCATTGAAAAATTTCACAGCGAACCCCTCTTCAGGGTATAAAAATGTTGTGGAATTGRGTTAGCACTTCCTAAACTTGTCATTTTAAGTCCATCTGTCAAAAATAATATTATAGGTTCCAGCTCACTCATTACTCTACTATCCACGAGGTTATAGAGATGCGATCCAATGAAATCTGGTTTTAGTTACGAAATTTAAGTAATTAATTTAATTAACAAAAAAATATTGTATTTTATAAAGCCTACGAAGTATGTCTTGACTTTCAATCATGCACCTCTAATGACTTCATTTCTTTCCTAATTAACATTTGACTCTTTTCAACGTCAAGCCTCATGATACCAAACATGAGCTTTCAATCATATATGGTTAGTACATATATAAAAGTATAGAACTCATCCCTGGATCTTAAATATTACTTCTAGAAATGTGTAGTCTGATGTCTCCTTTCATTTGTGTTATGGCTTTATAGAGTTTGTGGAAGTTTAATCAAGCTTTGAGCTTCCTTCTAATAGTTTGAAAAATTTCGTCCTAGAAGTTCCAGTTTAGGCTTTTAGAACATACATACTGAGTTTTTATATTCACCAGCTTGATATCGTTGATTGATGCATATCGTATAATAGGGCGCAGTGTAAGATAGGGCAATCCTTCGTTTTGCCCTTTGTGAAACCTTTAAAACTGAACATTTTTCTCACTAATACTCGAAACGGCTTGCCACTTAGACACAACCGTTCGTCCTTGGTCAGTTTCAATCTACATTCTTAATATTATCCTCCTATCCTTTTAAGACGTTTCCTATCCAGCTTGATTTCAGTACCGATTTTCCCCCATATACATATATTTTATGATGAAATAATAACAAAAACATACGCTTCGGTCGCTCGAAGTGCACAGCGACGAGTGGGCTAAGATAACCCTCTGAATTTTGATAAGGATAGAAGTAGCCGGGGAAGCCACGAACAGGCAAGTAGTTGACTGGACCGATATTCTCTTGATCAGCTGGATTCTCGCCTTCACATGAAACCCAAATGGTGTTTAACTAAATTAAAAACGCATATTATTTGAGTAATTACAGATACTTCAGCAAAATATAAATTAATTTAACCTTATGATTTTGYGTCTTTTCCACTTCACCGATATAAGTTTTCAAGCTGGTTGGCATGTCGTCGGGTAAATCCTTGGAGTCATTGTAATATTCCGGTATCCAGCCATAGATTTTATTYAATTTCAAGAAAACACATGGTGAGCTCTTGTGGTAGCTGTAATTGTTTTCCTTAGTGCAAGGATTCCATGTTTTAATGTCGACATCGCAAACCTGACCCTTTGGTGGCGGTTGATTATAGTCACAATTGTAGATGTTCTGACCACGACCAGGTGTAAGGCCAGGCACTTTGTAGACTGAAATTTAATAGAAYAATGTWTAWRRMGGTTATYAATAAMGTTGYAATTGCGGCAAAGAATCGCTTTACRCACCGGCTAAGAAYTCATCCAASGAATCCGTCCAGTGTTTGTAGTTCTCATGTTGCGTACCCTTGTACCAAATCAATGTGCTCTCAACATTGTCCGATGGTGGCAGCGGACGGAAACCAAGACCTATAAAGTATAATTTGATTATCATATTTGAATGTAAGTTTGATATATTAATTTACCTGGATTTGTGCCGATTATGGATCTATCCAATGTCCACTTGGGTATGCGCGGATCTAGTGTTTGAAAGAATACCCACATGCAAATGGCCACTAACGCGGCTAATACGCCATAGAAAGCTGTGTAGAAGATGCCGATCTTTGCTGTGGAGAGTAAAAATTAAAAAAATAATTAGTTTAATATATTCATTATATTTTGAAAATAATGAGTCTGAATAAAATTCGCTAAAACCTCTATAAAAACACACCAAAGTAATCTTCGTTCAAATGTCKCACTAAAACTGTTCTTATCGATCATTTGTGTTTCAATAAGCGTTCATGAATTGCCGCTACTTAATTGACCATACTGCATTTGGCACACATATCTTCTCTTTTTTTTCCATAGCAACATAATTGCCCATTTCTACAGTTCCACTCTAGACTGGACATTAATCAATGAATTGTATGAAGTCGTTAGGGTTAAATGTATGATTCATTAAAGCTGCTCAGTTCAAGCTTCTGGGCGGCTGGACAATAATCATAATTAAATTACTCTTAGGCACTCTTGTGTTACAGCTGATCTACACGATCTTTAAATGAGACTAATTTAATTGAATAATTATTGCTTGTTACGCTGGGTAGAACGGAGAGAATTAATAGTGTGGTAGTAAAATGTGAGAGCGCTGAGTATTTGTTGTGTATTTAAGAAAATATCTTAGGAGGGAGAGTTATACTGAGCGTTGATTATAGAAAGGTCTTATAAGAAAATTTAAAAGATATTTCTTTAGCCCGACATGTGTACATATTTAAATAATATATGTAAACTCAAAAAAAGTGTTACTAATTAAATTAGCAGTTTTAATTTAATATATTATGAATTTCTAAATCTGATTTTTTGTCTCTAATCGCCTTCAGAGTTTCTATGACTGCTACGAAATTTTAGTGTTATTAAGACAAAACTTTTCTTTATTTTCTATAGGTTTTTAGGGTTATTTGTTTATCATTCAATATGTTTTTTTGATACAAGAACTATTTGAGCTATGAACCAGAAATAATAGGTTAAGAGCCATAGTTAGATTAAAMAATTTCTAGTGTCTAAACTAAAAATCATTCAGTCAAGTTTAGGCTAACAAAATATTTCCGTGTTATTTCTGCATAACCTTGAATTCGGAATCACTTGGACTAAGCATGTCTACCCAGTATAGTTTCTTATTGATRTAATATCTCTTTTYGGTMAAATATMGTGTGACCTATTTCTTACTAAAYACAGAAAATTCAAATTTAATGAGTAGTGTTTATCATCATTCGAAAGAGTATTCTTTAGCATTTATTTTTTGAAGATTTTTCCTTTCAAATGCTGGCCATGGCTACCTTCCATGGTCCATCCATTAAGTCTAATTTACGATGAGTCGCTCGAACATTTCGACTAGTAATTAGCGAATGACRCGCGTGATGTTTTATTTTAAAGCCTGAATTTTAGCGGGATTGTCTGCATAGACTTTTGACTTTACATATTCACAGAGGAAAAAATCTTGGTGGTCAATCGACCAGCCAGAAACCTGAGATTATCTTCTTACTGATGTGTTCTCTCAATAAATTCACTGATTGATGTGATGTTTGGGAAGTGAAGCCATCTTGTAGAAACCAAATGTCGCCAAGGCCATGAGCTTCAATTTCATACATCAAATAGTTGGTTATCATGGCTAGATAACGAAAGCCATTGACGCTTACGTTTGCATGGTATGCATTTTTTTAAGAAATATCGACCGATGATTTTACCCGGCCACAAACCCTACCAAACCGAAATGTAAACATTATTTGAGCTTGTAAAATCAACCCTAAAATTTTAAACAGTATTATCTGAAAACCGTGTTTTCAGGGTCGCTTAGCAAAAATTTTAAAAAACTCCTTGTGAAATCGGTTTAGGATCGGTGAAGGAAAATTCTCAAAAACGACTGGATCGATTGATTTGAGATAGTTTTGAAGGCTTAGATTTTGTGGAAGCTGTCAATTTATCAGAATTTATCAGTCCTTTGATCATTACATTTATAGTAATTACACATTTTAAGCACCCRAAAGATCGGTTAAGGGATCATTTAAATCACAACAACTTACTATAAACTAATACAGAAAGGTGTGGTATGATATATTCATATACAAATCTGGTAAACGAATACTTTCCACGCTAAAAAGAGCTAGTAGGTAACCACTTCAAAGAACTAACCGGTGTTAAAAACCAACATAGATGAATTAGAACATTCATTGGATTCCAAGTTAACTATCAGARATCAGAAGAACGATTTGGTTTTCAATACTATTCTTATGCTATTCATTGATTAGCTAGAGGAATACGAGGGAGATTATGGATAGATTAGAGAYTTAGAGATTATTTATCGCTTTTTTCTCAATATTCTAACCGGTCAATTGTTTTACTTCAGTAAACATAAATTTTTAATTAATTTTTCGAATCTTTAAAACTGATTTTTTGAAATATGGCGAACTCAATACCTATAACGGTGAGTTCTCTTTAAAGTCTTTAAATAAAAATCGATAATATTAGATATACATATTTAATAAATGTGTATGCTTGACTACCAAAACATAAAAAATTTCCAAGTGGGTCTTCTAAATAGCATCGGCAATAAATAACGCTATATACAGTGACTCCAACTGTTGATGTACGTTCTCACTCATTTGTGCTCGTATGCACACGCTCACTCATTTGAGGTGCAACGGCCATAAATAACTCAAGCGAGGGAAAATTTACAGTAAAATATTACTSAAATAGTACCACTCCTGTTCTCGGCCAAATTGTAATAAACAAACTGAATCGTACACAACTTAACCTCAATGAATGCGATTCAGGCCAACAACACAACAACACACAAACACACGCACAATCAACAACGCCAACGACAGTTGTCTCCGTCTAACCGGCATTGCAAGTAACGCATGCTGAAATATGACAAAAACAGAAACTGTGCTAAATTTTAAATGAAAGAGGAACACATGCAATCAAAATCACAGGAGTGGGGAGTGGAGAGTGTGGAGTATGCAATGAAGAAGGGAGCGTAGCTGCTACGAATGCACTGAACTCAACTTGGACACAGCGTTTGCGCTTGGCTTATTTCTGTGCTATTGACCGAGGGAGACAGTGGAAATGCGGAAAACACACTCACACCCCAAAACATAACGAAATGTTAACTGAATTGGAAACCAGTGCAGACCAAGCGATGAGCGTATACCGTTAGCAAGAGGTTAGGTTMGGTGTGGAGCTAAAATTATGCACATACGCACATTCGCACTTCTTTATTGCTCTATAAACACAAAGAAAAAATCATGTATTTCGACACAGGTAAACAAACAATCGAAWGTTAGAATGAAGTAAAAGGAAATTTTTGAGGAACGAGTAAACGTGAGTAAATGCCATCAAAGCGACATTAGCGAATAAACAAATATAATACATGCGATAATAAATAATTGAATGAAAGGTAAACACAAAATTTACGCTGACAGTTGTCCACTGTGTACTGTTTACTTTATGTGCCGTTTGACAGCTACGCACACACTTGTAAGTTATACATATGTACATGTGCTTACAATGAGCATACGATATGATACCTAAGCGCCGTGCATTCGAAGGCAGGTGTACTGCAGACTMACTTTTGCTGCTGATTGAGCGCCAAAATGTGCAAGAAAGCGCATATCAGTACATATATATATATGTATAATGAAAAAGAAGCAGCTCTAGCAGACTCTTTGATGAATCTCATAACATAAAATGCTCTCGCATGGCTAACTGCGTTAGTTCAGTGAATATTGCATACCTTCATGTTGTTTTTTTCGCTTTCTAAACAGTTTGGTGGCAGATATTTATGGCTTTTATTCTTCGATATTTTTAGAAGATGCCAGGAAATGCAATACTAAAAAGAAAAAGTGGTGCAAGCGTTGTGTGAGTGCATAAAATGCTAAAAATATTAGTTRGATAGTGGGGAGTAAAATATAAAATTATTATCATGAAGGAGGAAAACACTTTTTTTGAAAACAATA